TGTAAGACCCCATATGTCTAGCATTTTTGAATCTACAGTCCACCAACCGTTTTCCATTGTCAATCTTGAAAGCAGTCATACGATAATACAAGTGGAGGATAAAGTATTTATAGTAGCCAGGGCATAACAAATGATATTTATGACATTTCTACATAGTGAGGATGTGTACACACGTCTGCCTTTCTGTAAACTTCAAGAAAAAGAATAAGAAGTACTCCCTCTGTCCGAAAAAATTTGTTCCTCAAATAGAGATACATCTATTTGATGAACAAATTTTTTCGGAGGGAGGGAGTATGCAATTAAAATGTAAAAAGGAATATGATTAACTTTCCAAAAAAAGAAGGAATACAATGATTGGTGTAACATGATTGGTGTACACGTATGCTGGAATCTCACAGCATAATAATTGAGGTGGATGCAATAGGTCAAATTTATCACAACAACCTGTCCAGCTTGTGGCATACAAAAAGTAGAAACTCACCTAGCTGGATTAGCACGTTGGCGTTCCGCCCCTACTTACCAGCAAGGTATTCGTGCTGCCTCACGAAACCACCGCCGAGAACACGATGACATTTATCTATATCTACTAATAGAAGGGCCATGTCTAAATATTGGTGGGGCGATGACGATATAAAAAAACATATGCATTGGTTTGCATGGTGGAAGATGTGTGTTCCAAAAGAGAGATGAGGCATGGAATTCAGAGACTTGCACTGTTTTAATATGGCACTTTTGGCTAAGCAGTGTTGGAGGTTGTTGTCTGAACCAGAATCACTTTGTGCGAGAGTGTTGAAGGCTAAATATTTTCCTGAGAGCGACCTTCTGAATTATAGTCTTAAGAAGGGTAGTTCTTATACATGGCAGAGCCTATGGAGTGGGATACAAACTTTCAAGAAAGGGCATATATGAAGAATAGGGGATGGCTATCAAATAAACATATGGGAGCAGGGCCGTATATCCGCCGGTGCAACCGGAGCGATCGAACAGGGCCCCCAAAACCGGAGGGCCCCAAATTGTTAGCTAATCAGAGTATTAAGTGCATCATTATTAGTTAGATATTATTAGAATAAAAATCTCCTGCAAATATCTCACGCCTAGCCACCTCGTATACGTCTCTCTATCCACCCGTCAATCCATCAATTTCTCCGAGGCACCACCTACGTTTCTCCCTGTATCTTCCTCAATCGGTACTTCGGTCAAATAGAACCACTTTCACAAGCCTCAATAAAATTTCAGCAAAATTAACTACAACTCTGCTCAATCGAAAGGTTGTGGCAGTACTTTTATCTACCTGTTCTAGTTTCTAAGTAAAGCCTTGTACTAAATCCTATTTGTTATGTTCTTTCTTGAACTTGTAAATGCGGCTGGTGTAATTACGCATGGAAATTGTATTGGTGATATGATTAATCATATACACCTTTCGTCGGAATTACTTGTCGGAAAAATAGATGTATCTAGACGTATTTTACTTATTAGATACACCATTTTAATCCATTTCTGTGACGAGTAATTCTGGACAGAGGGAGTGCTACATATTAGGTTTTTTTTTAACACCTGGGGCCTAAATTTTTAATCGCACTGGGCCTCCGTTGTCCCAGGTACGGCCCTGTATGGGAGGATCCATGGATCCCAACCAGCCCTACACGGGGAGTAATGACCCCGAGGGATAATATTGTTATCACACGTGTCTCTGAGTTGATAGATGAAGAGAATAGAGTTTGGGATGAGCAGTTGCTTAATGAATTATTTTGGCCAGTCGACGTACATCGTATTCTGAATATACCTCTGGCTATAGGTATGATGAATGATTTTGTCTCTTGGCACTGCAATAAGAACGGTATTTTTTCTGTACGGTCAGCTTATCATGAAGAGTGGGAACACCAACATGGACGAAAGTTGAGAATGACAAACTCAATTCAATCCTTAAGTACTAGTCCTATTTGGAGTAGCATTTGAAAATTAAGTGTACCAGCCAAGATAAAGATTCATGTGTGGAGAGCCTTACTTGGAGCCATCCCTTGTCTGGGGGTTCTAGCAAATAGACATATGATCACGAGTTTGCAATGTCCTATGTGTAGTATCGATTGTGAGAGTATTAAACATGTCCTATTCTTATGCCCACGAGTACAAGATGTGTGGCGCATACTAGGTCTAGGACAATTGGTGGCTGAGGTATGTACTGCACAACGTGAGGGAGGATCAGTACTAGCTGACATGTTTCTGTCCAAGAGCAGCCTACAGGCAACGGTGGCGGGAGTCCAACGCAATGCACTGGTGGCAACCACTGTATGGTATGTGTGGTGGGAGCGTCGCCGCTACACCCACGAGGAGTTTCTATAGGACCCGTCCAGATCGGCGCAGGCTATTGCGGCTCTAGCTAAAAATTTCACGAGAGCTAGAAATAAGAACACAAAGATCAGGAGGCACGGCTGGAAGAGGCCACCTGAGGGAATTATAAAATTGAACGTCGACGCGGGATTTGAGATGGACAGCAGCTCTGGGAGTACAGGAGCTATCCTGCGAGATGACATGGGAAATTTTATAGCTGCTTCGTGCGGGGACATTCCCTTTGTAGAGGATGCGGCGACAGCAGAAGTAAGGGCTCTGAGAAATGGGTTGTTACTTGCTAATGATATGGGTTGCAACAAACTTTATGTCGGAGCGGACTGCATGGAGGTGATTGATGTTATGCAGAACGCCGGGAACTTCCTCGGACATGCGGCGGCAATCTATGAAGAATGTACTTTCTTAGCTCGTAATTTGAGTTTTATTGTTTTTAATCACTGTCCTAGAGAAGCCAATATGGCGGCCGATGTGTTGGCTAGGAATTCGGAGTCCTCTCGAACTATTGTTTGGAAGTCGAGCCTCTGGGTTTTCTAGTGGACGTCCTATTAAACGATGTATCCTTATTTTCACATGAAATATAAACCGCCATGATGGCTTTCCTAAAAAAAAGGGCTATCGTTTCTTGCCTTTATAAATTTCGTCCGTTTAGTCCGTACGTCATCATTTTTTTTCTAATTTTCGTTCGTTTCGTCCGTACGTCGACCCGTTTATCTCTGGTTCTACGCATGCTAAGTTTCGTCCTTATTGGGCCTAGATATGCACCTGGGTGGTCCTGGGTCCACACATCTTTTTTCTGCAATTGGGTGGACCCATGGGCCGAGCAGCCAAAAGGCTACAACCAATTGAGCACGGTTATGCTTGTGCCAAATTAAAAAGTCCCACCTCGCCTTTTCTCATCAAATTACACCAATTTATATACAATCACGAGTTGCTTGAAAATCAGCAAGTTGACTAGAGAATCAACAAATAGAGGAATTAAAGAGGAAAAATGTCACCAAATTGGTATGTGCTTGTAACGTAGGGGTGGATGGGCCGACCTGGAGTTAGCTCGGCCGATGTGTGCTGGCTGATGGACCTCTCCTTCGTCCTTTTTCAATTAAACAGAAGAAAAGATAATTATTTCTCTCGGATCATAGAAATAAGAGAACTTAAATTAAGTGCTTTGGGTATTTCTTAAAACATAAAAGTTCAAACAAGTTCGATTTAATAAAAATGTGCTTGAATTTAAAACCTAACAATGGACTCAAAATTTACGAAGTGGATTTAGGCAGTGAAATTGAATTGTGGGCACATCTAGACCACAACCTGCTCGGCCGATGTGTGCTGGCTGGCTGATGGACCTCTCCTTTTTCCTTTTGTCCGTTTTCAATTAAACAGAAGACCACTACAAAATTAAACAGAAAAGATAAGAAAAGATATTATTTCTCTCTGATCATAGAAATAAGAGAACTTAAATTAAGTGCTTTGGGTATTTCTTAAAACATAAAAGTTCAAACAAGTTCAATTTAATAAAAATGTGCTTGAATTTAAAACCTAACAATGGACTCAAAATTTACGAAGTGGATTTAGGCAGTGAAATTGAATTGTGGGCACATCTGGAAACTGAAAGAAGACCACAACCTGCCCGGCGATTCAAAATGCATTCCCAAGGAGTATAACATAAGTGTGGCATAACACATACTCTCCCTTCATTCCGGTTTGTTGAGCTTATCTCATTAAGATCGATGATGGCGCTGGCTGCTTTAGGGTTAACAACGTAGGGGTGGATGGGCCGACCTGGAGTTAGCTCGGCCGATGTGTGCTGGCTGATGGACCTCTCCTTTGTCCTTTTTCAATTAAACAGAAGACCACTACACCTCGGCATGCGATTAAAGCATGATATTAATTTCTTCTACACCTCGGCATGCGTCGCCCTGCCTCCGAAGATGTTGTTAGCGTTGATGGGCATTTTGATGGCCACATCGATTTTGCTTCCCGTTGCAACACACGGGCATATGTGCTAGTAGTATACTCAAAAATCTTGTAGACTGCTTTACCAGTGGAATCTGGCATCATATTTATTGTTTTTAGAAGAGGTCTCTTGGCAGTAGGGGTGTAGAGTGGCGTCCGAACCCGTCCAGCTACGTATACAGCATAAAAGAAACTCAGTTGTAACTGGATTATACTGTGCTAATTTAGCACCTTGGCCGGTTTTTGCTGGACACCGCCTTGCACCCCAACTTACCAGCAAGGTATTTATGCTAAGTCGCGAAACCTGAGATTATTGTATACTCAAAAATCTTGTATACTGCCTTAGATTAGCTTTGATAGTTGGCACGAATGGGAATAATGGTGGAAAATGGTAGAAGGAGGTGGTTGGATGATGAGGCATGCCAACACGGTAGGAGTCCCACCTATCAAAGTTGAGAGGGCCAATTTGATAAAAGAAAAGGTTGAGAGGGCCAGAGAGGGACACGATCTTTATAAGCAGAAAAGATCTGGGCATTCTCGTTGCAGAAAGTAGAGCGCTGTACAAACGGGCCTTCACGAATCACGAGATATCCAACAAATTTCATGGCGTCCTCTCCACAATACTCGTCCTCGGCGCCCAAAGCCGACGACGAGGCGGTGTCCCACGAAGAAATCTACGACCAGCTCCTACAGGTCGTGTCCACCTACCCGACGGCGCCCAGCGGCATCGGCCGCCCGTACACCCACCACCCGGACGGCTGGTACGCGTTCACGCCGGCCGTCGTGAACGCCATGGTCATCAAGCGGCACCTCAAGGCGCGCGACACCGACGTCTTCCTCGCCACCTTTCCCAAGTCCGGCACCACCTGGCTCAAGGCGCTCCTGTTCGCGACCCTCCGCCGCACCGCGGACGGGCCAGCACTCGCGCCGCTCGCAGCCCACAGCCCCCACCAGCTCATCCCTTTCCTGGAGGTCCAGGTCTTCAGCAACGGCCGGATCCCCGACCTGAGCTCCCTCCCTGCGCCGCGGGTCCTGATGACGCACATCCCGTCCCGGTCGCTGCCGGAGTCCGTCACCGCCTCCGGCTGCAAGGTGGTGTACCTATGCCGGGACCCCAAGGACTGCTTCGTGTCGCTCTGGCACTTCTGGAACCGGTTCACGCCGTCGCCGTGGGGCCTCGGCGAGGCGTCCCAGCAGTTCTGCGACGGCGTCTCGCTGTTCGGGCCTTTCTGGGAGCACGTGCTGGGCTACTGGCGCTGGCACGTGGAGAGGCCGGAGCAGGTGCTCTTCCTGACCTACGAGGAGCTCGCCGCCGACACGGTCGGTCAGCTGAGGCGCCTCGCTGCGTTTGTCGGCTGCCCGTTCACGGCAGAGGAGCGGGAGGCCAGGGTAGACAGGGAGATCGTGGAGGCATGCGCCATGGAGAGCCTGGCGGGACTAGAGGTGAACCGGTCCGGGAAGACCGCCATGACCGAGACGTCAGTGGCGAACAACACATTCTTCCGGCGCGGCGTCGTTGGCGACTGGAAGAACCACCTGACGCCGGAGATGGCGAGAAGGATCGATGAGATCAGCGAGAGCAAGTTCAGAGGAACGGGGTTGGCGTTGACACCGGCAACCGCAGAACAGAACTAGTGGTTTCATGATGGCAGATGCTATATAAATAAGGACCACTTGCACAACATTTCTATAAAATATTGTATTATTAATGTCAGGCATGATCATTTTTTTTTAAACCCGAGAGCTTTTATTCAACAAAAGAACTCCTGACATCATCAATAGGCTGGTGAGCAGGAAGAAAGGTCTAGAGTCAGTACAACTCTTGATCACCATCAGCGTGCAAGTATGTTTTGCATAGATGGACCGGTACATTGGCTGCTCCGTTTACATGTTAAATATCAAAATAAGAAAAGAGATAGCTAGCTCTTTAATTTCTAGAAGTACTAGTGCCATCACAAAAAAACTGTTATGGCGAATTTTCCAGAGATTAACAATCTTCAAGCTGTCTGTCTTCATTATCACATATGAGAAACCGCGCAGATTTGCAAAGATAACACCATCACGAAGCGTCGGGCATGATCACTTGATCAGCAAACATAAGAGGGGAAATAATAAGTGTTACCATTCAGTAGTATACATGAACATCGTTATCACGTGGTGTCTCCACTACTGTGTCAATAGCTCACAACTTAGCAGCATTTTTTTGGACGTTGATAACGCCCACACGTGTGTTGGAAACGACATCCTCCCACACGTCCTATAACATACAGACTATGCCACATCACCGCATGCATGCATGTGGAAATCTTTTTGGATTTCCAGTTTTTAAACTGTTTTATCTCTTTAATGAAAAATCCGATTGAAAATTCGTTTTCACCATTAAATCCATCGCGACGAGATCTTCGAAACTAGATCTCATATCAATATGTTTTGACGACTTAGAAGTTGCCATGTCTATTGCACATGAATTGCCATGGCGTTTACACTGAAGTTGCCATGATATGTTTCAGCTATTTTCTTCTACAATTTAAAATAAATTTTGACATATTATAAAATGGGGAATTAAGAAACAAGACTTGTCATGAACCATAAACTAAAATTTCCAAGATACATGTACTTAAAATTGCCATGGTTCATATAAAAAATAATTTTCATGGTCAAAGTACTGAAATTGCCATGGTTAAAATACTAAAATCGACATGCTCTATAAGCTAAAATTGCCACATGGCAACTTTAGTGTAACAATATAGCAACTACAGTGTAAACATCATGACAAGTTTTGGCCAAAAAAATCGTTGAAACATATCAATGGGATCTAGTTTTGAAGATCTCATCGAGACGATTAATGGTGAAAACGGATTTTAATTGGATTTTTAATTAGGAGATAAAACATTTTTAAGCCGAAAACCAAAAAGATTCCCACTAATGTCATCTGTTTTGATGTGGCAAAATGAATGGTATTGGAGGCGTTTGGGCCATGTTGCTTCGTGCCACACGTGTGGGCGTTGTCAGTGTCAAAACCGGCGGATCTCGGGTAGGGGGTCCCGAACTGTGCGTCCAGGATCGATGGTAACAGGAGACGGGGGACACAATGTTTACCCAGGTTCGGGCCCTCTCTATGAAGGTAAAACCCTACGTCCTGCTTGATTGATATTGATGAATATGAGTGTTACAAGAGTGAATCTATCACGAGATCATAATGGCTAAACCCTAGAAGTCTAACCTATGGGGGTATGGTAATGAGTATGTATGGTGTCCTTTTCGGACTATCCCCTTCGGTTTATATAGACACCGAGGGGATTTAGGGTTTACATGGAGTCGGTTACATAAAAAGGAATCTTCGATCGCCAAGCTTGCCTTCCACGCCAAGTAGAGTCCAATCCGGACACGGTGCAATCTTCGGCCTTTATGTCTTCACAGCCCATCAGTCCGACCCATAGATAACAGGCCGGACGCCCGAGGACCCCTTAGTCCAGAACTCCCTCAGTAGCCCTGAACCTGGCTTCAATGACGAGGAGTCCGACGCGTAGATTCGTCTTCGGCATTGCAAGGCGGGTTCCCTCCTTCTGAACTCCAGAATAGTCTTCGGACGAAGTAAGTATATCCGGACCTGTGTATATAATGGCAGAGAATATAATACCCCACGAGCCCAACCTGTTGATAACTGTTCACGACATCATATCATGCCTGCCCGGTTGCTATTTCCAACCGACGGCTAGTGAGCCACCCCACGTCTCGGGTGCAGTTTTACTGGCACGCCTTGTCAAGGCAGAGATCGTGTTCCTTTATTTATGAGATTTTCATTAACATAGGCGTGGGTAACCCAACCGTCCCCTGGGTACAACTCCTTGGTAATAGGTAAGCTTAGAGACCCTGGGGGAGACGCCCAATACTTGGGGCCTTTATATAGAGACCCAATCTCGTTTTCTTCCTTTGCGCTTGCTTCTTCCTCAACCCCAGCCACCCCAAGTTCCAACCTTTGGGTTCCAATCGCCACCAGCCCCAGTCATGTACGGATCCAACCATCAGGGCCGGTGGGTGGCTTCTTCTGTCACAGAGGAGGATATTGCGAAGCTCCGCGCAGCGAGGTATCTGACCTCGGAAATCTTTCATCGGCTCCCGGCACAAGGACAAGTCATACCGACCCCCAGATCTGGTGAGAGGGTAGTATTTGTAACCCACTTCCTTCATGGGCTAGGGTTCGCGCTTAACCCCTTCATCTGGGGGCTCATGTTCTACTATGGACTGGATTTTCATGATCTGGCCCCGGACTCTATTCTACTCATCTCGACATTTATCGTCACGTGTGAGGCCTGACTCCGGACTCCTTCGCACTTCGGTTTGTGGCTCAAGACCTTTGGTTTGAGGTCGCACGTGATAGAGGAGGAGCAGGCAGAGTGCGGCAGCGTCATAATAGGCAAGCTGGCCGGCGCGGATTGGCCCGAAAGATCTTTCGCCAAATCTCCCGACCTGGCAGCAGGTGTGGTTTTATATCAACAAGCCGCGGTCCTCCAATTCAGCTTTCTTCATGGGTCAATAAGGGATTGGACTGGGGATTCATCAACGAAGTGCAGACTCTACAAAGCCGCATCCGATGCCTTACCGAGAAGGGCATCGATCTTGTGAGCATCGTTCAAATAATGCTAGTCCACCGGATCCTACCGTGTCAGCGGCGGCCTCTTCGTATGTGGGAGTTTAACCCAGAAGGGCGGCGGACCCTACAGCACTTCTTCGGCACTACGCACGAAGGAATGTGGAAATTGTATTTTGGGGAACGAGGGCAATGGCCGGACACTACCGAAGATGTTGGCCTTGACTGCAATCGTCCGGCTACTTCGGTAAGTACTCGAGCACCTTTCATTCAAGCATCTTTTAGCGAGATATTGAACAACCCGTCCCTGCTCAGGACTGGATAAAGAAGGCGGTGCTAATCTGGTGTCCGGCGCCTCTTCCCGAAGGCCCTGCAACCGGCCTGCTGACGAGAATGCTGATTCCAACACCGTACCAGGTGGCTGCGTCCGGGGAAACCGAAGTCCTTCTGCCCAAGGGCAAGAGTGCGGAGGGAGTCTTCCAGGGCAAGAAGAGGGTCGCCTCCGAAGATCAGGAGGGGAAGCCTTCCAAGAGAGGAAAGACGTCGTCGTCGAGCAGCTTGGGCCAGGCGAGCGAGGCTGCCGTAGAGTTTGATGATGAGGAAGAACCTCGAGGCAGACCGTAAGAGAGGCTGGGGTACTTTAAGCGCACCTCATTCTTTTTTAGTGAATTAATCCTCCGATATATGTTCGTCCATGTAGGTTAACGCCTGGTGCTTCTCAATCGCCCTCCTCCTCGGGAGATCTTCTTCCAGAGATGATGGAGAGCGACATGCCTCCTCTAGCCCCGTCGCCCAACAGAGAAGATTATACCGAGGTATCGTCCCGAAGGGCACCCGAAGGTGGTGCCTCCGTCACCCGAGGTTCCGAGATCGAGACCGGCGTCCCCGAACCGTCCGGTTTACAGCTGGAGACGGTTCTGGAGGCAAGCGAGCGGGTTCCTTCACTGGAATGCCGTACTCCGGCGATGGTTTCCGAAGACCCAAGAGCGCCAGAAATGCTGACGGACATGCTACGACGAGTGTCTATTTCAGAAGAGCACCGTTCCTTGATGGTTACGGTGGTCGAAAGGGTTCTATCCGCGACGAGTGGACTGAACGAGGCCTTCACGAGCCTTCTAAGAGGTTTTGAGGTTTGTTATGTAGCTTTGTCAATTGAATTTCATTGACAGAATGCACCTGTTGTATATGCAGTAGCCCGTGAGACTCGGGTTGTCTTCCGAAGGGAGCGATCGGAGGATCAAAGAGATATGCTGATACGTCTCCAACATATCTATAATTTTTTATTGCTCCATGCTATATTATCTACTGTTTTGGGCAATATTGGGCTTTATTTTCCCCTTTTATATTATTTTTGGGACTAACCTATTAACCGGAGGCCCAGCCCAGATTTGCTGTTTTATGCCTTTCAGTGTTTCGAAGAAAAGGAATATCAAACGGAGTCGAAACGGAACGAAATCAACTGGAGAAGTTATTTTTGGAAGGAAACCTACCGGATAGACTTGGACCCTACGTCAGAAGATGAAGGAGGAGCTCATGAGGGTAGGGGCGCGCCCACCCCCCTGGGGCACGCCCCCCTGCCTCGTGGCCCCCCCTCCGGTCCACTAACGTACTCCTTTCACCCATATATACCCACGTATTCTAAAACTTCCAAAACAGAGATTAGATCGGGAGTTTCGCTGCCTGAAGCCTCGGTAGCCACCAAAAACCAATCTAGACCCGTTTCGGCACCCTGCCGGAGGGGGCAATCCTTCTCCGGTGGCCATCTTCATCATCCCGGTGCTCTCCATGACAAGGAGGGAGTAGTTCTCCCTCGGGGCTGAGGGTATGTACCAGTAGCTATGTGTTTGAGCTCTCTCTCGTGTTCTTGAGATGGTACGATCTTGATGTATCGCGAGCTTTGCTATTATATTTGGATCCTATGATGTTTCTTCCCCCCTCTACTCTCTTGTAATGAATTGAGTTTCCCCTTTGAAGTTATCTTATCGGATTGAGTCTTTAAAGATTTGAGAACACTTGATGTATGTCTTGCCGTGGATATCTGTGG